TTGGCCTTGGCGTCCCCTTCTCCTCCCACCCGAGGTCTGGATTCTACTCCGGTTAATGAGAGTGTAGCCCCTTTGCCCGGCCTTCCCTCTGCTCCCCCATCCCAGCGAAGGACTGTCTTGGGGGGAGGGGTTAGTACCTTGCAGTGAAGGCACCCACCCCACCTCTGCCTCCTAGGTCCCTCAAGAAGTCTGGTGACATCTGGCTGGAAGCCTACCTCCACCAGTGATGGCAGCACCCGGGGCCCCAGCGACCACCAAGCCGGCCCAGGCAGGCTTGACCACTCTGCGCCCCCCGGCCCCCCGCCCCCCCCACCTAGGGGGTCCTGCCCACCCTTCTTGATCTGCTGCCCTCACCTGCCCGCCCCCCTCACCTGTCTGCTTGGCAGCCCTAAGGCTGTGGCTCTTGGCCAAACAGGACCAGGGCTAGGGGGATGGTACAGAAAGCCACACAGCATGGCATGTTTTCCTAGAGCAAAAATTCAGGGAAAACGGTTATTTTTATATAAAAACAAAACCCAGAAAAATGGTGGAGTGGTGTGTTGAATCTGCGAGAATCTTGGAGCTGGACTTCCTCAGAGGAGTTCAGGCCCTTGGGCCATCAGGGGGATGGGGGGTGGGGTGCTGGCAGAGGGGGCAGGGGGAGAGGATGGTGGCCCTGGGTCTGGAAGCTGGCAGCTGCCTCAGGTTCGGGTCTCTGTGAGGGTCCCTCCCTTCCTGTCCTTCACCCACTCACCAGCAACCTTCAGCCGTCACACTGAGCAGACCTCGCTTTGCTCCTCTGCCAGGTGGGACAGGGGCTGGTCCCTGCAGACCAGGGCTCAGGGCCACATCAGCAGGCACCCCCCCCCCCCCAACACAGGCAGGGGAAGCCAGTATGTCCCCTTCCATGAGGAGGGGCTTCCTAGGGCCACCTGCCAGTCGTCACATTTGCACCCAGCATCACGCTGGTAGGGGTGTACCTTGACTGTGCTCAGTGGCCCACAGGAGGGGACACCGGGTTTCTCCCATGCCTGCCTGGGACCCGGTGCTTGCCTGCTGGAAGTGGCTTAAAGAAAATGAAATGCTGAGCTAGGCTTTCTCTGAGGGTCTCTCTGATTGTCCCCCACTTTGTCAGGGCTCCCATTGCCCCGGACTGGGTTCTCTTCTGGAGGTAGAAGGGGCACAGATAGTAGAGGTCTTGTTTGGTCCTTTCCCGGGACCATCTGGGCCCACCCTCATCCACTCCATGCCACTCCCACCACCCTCTTGTCAGGAGTCAGGTAAACCAGGGGACTAGCCCCACCTCTGCCGGGACTTTGTCAAAGCTGTGTGACCTTGTGGAAATTACTCAACCTCTCTGATCTGGAGTATGATCCCCTATGGTGATGGAATGTGAAAGGGATGCTGGGTGGAAGGCTCTTTGCATAGGGCTTGGCAACAGGGCTCTGAAATTAAAAAAATTTTATGCACAAAGCCTTACACCCTTAGGCTCTATCTGCTCTGACCTGGGACAAGCCCATGGCCATCTGAGTGGTGCCATGTGGGCCCCGGGATGGCATTCCCTCCATCTCCTGTACGATCATTGCATTTCCCGCAGTGGCTCTGAGGCACAGGCTCTTAGCAGAAATCTTACCCTGTACATGTCCCCCCCAACCCCCATCTCTGGGTGGGGAAGGCTGAGCCTGCATCGCCACCTAGGGGCGTCCAGAGTATCTGCACCATTGTGGGGCAGGCCACGCCCCCTGCTGCCCCTTCTGGGGACCTCAGGGAGTGCTCTTTCCCCCTGCAAATGGGTGGTTGCCTAGTGACTTGCTCTAAGGAGGGTGACGCTTAGGGAAGCCGCCTGGCCTCAGGTAGCCACCGGATCTCTCCTTATTGGCTGAAATCCTTCACTGGCGGGTCATCTTTATCCTTGTCCCACTCTGTCCCCCTTGCTAGAGCCTCTGGGGACAGGTCATCATCCCTCTCCCCGTCTCCTGAGCTGAGCTCCCCCTTATGGGGTCTTTTATGCAGCCTTGGAACAAAAACCTAGGGACCGTGGGCCAGGTTGCGAAAGGAAGTTAGGGAGGGCCTTGGCGGAGCCCCCAAGAACCCCCGCATCCCTGCTTTACTGTCTGTGTACAGTCTTGGGCACAGAGGAAAAAGCAAAATGACCACAGGCAGCCCCAACTTGCTGATTTGTTCCTCCAGTCAGTCAGCATTTACTGAGTCTGCCATGCGCAGCCCGGGCAGATGGGGGGAAAGGCGACTCCCGAGAACCAGCCTTGCCTGTAATGTTGGGAGTGGCTGGTCCTGGCTATGAACGGACTCCTTTGTGATGGTACAGGTTACAGTCTTTCACTGGTCTTTCCCACCCTCCCCCCCCTTCCCCTGATACATCCTGAAAGCACCTGGGTCCCTCTCCTGCTCGGTCCTTTCCAAGCTCTTGGGGTCCTGGCACTAATTCTCCTGGACACTTGCCCTTGAATTTGGAAGAAAGGACTAAATGCCTTCAAAATACAAAGAAACACATTTATAATGGCAGAGGACCATAGAGACGTGGTCTTCAAATGCTAGCATGTTCGTGGCTGCTTGCGTATGTGTAGGCCAGTCTGGTCAGAAATGTCAAATGTTCCCAAGAGAGGTCTGGAGCTCCAGACCCCCCCTGGACCTCAGTTTCTTCTTCTTCTTATTTTTTTAATTTTAATGTTTGTTTATTTTTGAGAGGGGGAGGGGCCGAGAGAGAGGGAGACACAGAATCTGAAGAGGCTCCAGGCTCTGAGCTGTCAGCACAGAGCCTGACGTGGGACTCGAACTCACGAACTGCAAGGTCATGACCTGGACCGAAGCTGAACTGACTGAGCCATCCAGACGCCCCGGGGGCCTCAGTTTCTTCACTAGTGGTTGTGGGCTCTCCTGAGGTCCACAGCTTACCGTTTCTGTATGTCAGGTGTCAGAGCAAGGGCTCTTTGAGAAGTTGTGTCCTGTCCAGAGGGCCACACCTCTCCAGGGAGGGCACCGCTGGGACAGCTGAGTCCCGATTGGTCCAAAGCACCGTGTCTCGTGAGCAGTGGCCCATGGCTCCCAAGGGCCGACTGGGCCCAGCGCTATCACCTCTGCCCTGCCCCTTGTCACCGAAGGCCTCCTGTCTCCTCCCAGTGGGCCAAGAGGGTTTCTGAGTGTCCCACCAGAGGCCCAGGGAACTTGCCAGGGCGCTGACCACCTCTGGGGCTCGAGGAGCACACACAGCCCAGGCGGCCATGCTGACCCCTCCTCCAGGCCGGGCCCCGTGCACGTGCCTGGGCCAGTCCCTTCCTTTCCTTTCCTGTCCCAGCCTTGCCTGCAAATGGAAGCTTCTAGTCTTTTTATCACCCAGGGTCTCGCATGTGAGGGTGTCATGACTTAGGCAGGGGGTGGCCATCTGAAACTCATGATTCTCTTGGGCAAGAGCCTCCGCCAGGTGCGGGGACAGGAGAAGCAATTAGGCAGAGGGCAGGTATGGGCGTCCTCAGCTCCTTGGGCGTCCAAGGGCTATACTTCAGGGCAAGGATGGTGTGGTGGGAAAGAGTCACAAAGATCCACACGCCCACTGGCCTGAACCAAGATTTAGCTGGTGCCCTCGTAGCCACAGCATCCACCTCGCTCATCAGCCACCCCCCAACCCCACCCCGCCACCACTCTCCCCTTCCCCGGAGCCTGGCTGTCCTAGGTGATGAGCGTCCAGCCGGCAGGGTGGCAGGGCCGCCTGGGAGACGGTGCCACACCGAGCCTAAGTAGGAGTAGGAACAGAGGCCCAGGTGAGAGGAATGAAGGAAGGCGTGCTCCTCAAGGTCTTTTAGCCTCAAGGGCCTCTACGGGGTCTCCCAGAAGGGCTCGGGCAAGGGCTCGCAGGTGTCGAGATCACTGGAGCCCAGTGCCTTCAATATGCAAATGGGGCCCAGAGAGCAGGGGTGAAGGACTCCCCCAAGGCCACTTGGTGGGTCTCCACCTCCTGGCTCAGGTCTCCTGCTGCAATCCTGGGTCGTACCGCCGAGTCCCTGCGCCCACCGGGGAATCACACACACCCCATCTGGGACAGCTGGCTGTCACTGCTGGCTGTACTGAAGTCATGGGGAAAGCAAGAGGGGGACGAGATCTACTCTGGAGCCCTCCCTGGCCCTGCTGGGAGGAGATACAAGGCCAGATGTATCTGCCCCTGAGGCGCTGGCTGTGCTGAGTCTCTTGGCCATTTCCTGGCGTACCCTGCCAACGGAGCCAGCTCAGAAGCAGGGGAGCAGAGAGCAGCGTGGGAGGCAAATGGTGCAAGTCCCCCTGGCATGTCCCTTTGGACTTTTCCCAGGGAAAAGTGGGGGTTGGACAGACTGAGGACTCATTCTCTGCCATTGCCTTTGAGCTGGTGGCCCTGGGCTGAGATGGCATGGGGTGTCTCCCCAAGTCGTGGGGACCCAGCGAGCCACTGCACAGGCCACAAGATGGAAGCGTAGGTCTCCAGGACTTTCCACAGCCCCTTCTGAGATTCGCTTTGCCCGCAGTGCTCTGTGCACTGACCAGGACGTGGGGAGAAGGGAGTCTGGCGGAAGCCAGTGGACTGGGGAGGTTGTGGGCAGACAGCTGGTCTGAGGATAAACTGGGGACAGAGATGGGGAAGGAGGATGTCAGGAAGCTGGCCTGTGCCAGCTCCTCCTTGCTGCTCTTGAGACCTTCCAGAAAGCCTCCTGCAGCTCCGGTGGCCGTGTTTGGAGTTGGGTTTGTGTCAATGCACCTGAGCGAAGGGGAGAGAAGTTCTCCCCAGAACAGACGCAGCAGGGGGCAGAGATAGGATGACTGCCATTGGGGAGGGGACAGGGAAAAGGCTGCCTCCGTCGGCACAAGCCTCCTCCCCGGTGCCCGGACCCTTGTCACCAAAGGCCTCCTCTCTCCTCCCAGTGGGCCAGGAGGGTTTCTGAGTGTCCCACCAGGAAAGTTGCAAAGCTCCTTCCGCCCACCCCCCCATGCCCTGCCCAGCATTAACACGCAGGAGCATAAAGCATCCACTGATCAAGGAAGTGAGAATAAAATTACTTTAATTTCCAAAAAGTGTAGGGGGTGGGGAAGCAACCTGGTAAAAATTAAGATCTGTTCCCTATGGATCCATTCTGTCTCTGGGGAGGGACAGCCCCTTGGGCCTGCGTTCTCAGTGGGAGGGCCTCGGGGGCCCACACTGTTATGGCAATCCGAAGGGCTGTCACACTAGACGCTGGTCCCTCCTGGCTGGCCAGAGCTGGGGGACTGCAGCCTTCCCCCCCAGTGATCTTGATTCTGCTCCCCTCCCCTGAGGCTAAAGATTGATTAGTGGGTTAGATTTCTGAACATGGCAGCCTGAAGCCCTCCCTCCCTCTCACTCCCCAGCCCCTCGGCCACCTGGCCTCCGGCCCCAATCGCCTTGCTGCAGTTTTCACTCGGTCCTCGCGAGACCTCCCTCCCAGCCCCCCAGCTGTCAGGGTCACCTCCTCTGGGACTGGCCCCCTCTGTGCCCCCACTGCGCTCTCGACACCAGAGGCCCCAGAAGTCCCCACAGTGAGGGCCACTGTGGCCTCAGGGAGTGAGCCCGGCTCAGCCCACTGTGGGGCCCGGGGAGGCAGTGAGGGGCAGGTGGTAAAAGGCAGCCCTGCTGCCACCCGCCTGGCAGAACGTACTCTATAACAAAAGGTTAAAAAACCGGAAGATGGGAGGGCAGAAGACAGTGTGAGCACGTCCACACTAGCAGCCACAACTCAGGGAGGGGCTGTGTGAGGCTCGGGCGCCCTCCTGCAGCTGCAAGGGCCCGAGGCCCCTTGGCCGAGTGGCTAGAGACTAGCTGGTGCTGCCTGGCAGGTAACAGAGCACTTGGGAGAAGGGGCCAATCGCTCCAGGATCTTGGGTTTCCCAGCCTGATGGGGAGGGCGGGGCGCAGGGCTGATCCTCCGACCAACCTGACCCGGCCCCTGACAGCCCACCTTCAGGACTGCCCCCTAAACCTAAGGTCACAGGCTGCGCAGCTGGCAAACGTGGGGTGGAACTGCACAAGCCCCGGGTCTCGGGGGGCGCCAGTGGGGCGAGGACACTTCTGGGGGCTCCCGAGGTCTGAGCTGGTCGCGCTGCTCAGGCAAAGGGAGCCGGGCGCCGGGCTGGGACCCTGGACACCAGCAGGGAGGCCCCGAGCACCGATGGTCCCAGCGTGGGCTGGGCGGGAGACGGGCGCGAGGAGCACACACGCTCCCTGACACTGACACACGCGGGCGGCCGGGTCTGCGGGGCCAGGGAGAGCATCGTGTCCAACTAGGACCCCCGCCCACGGACGCCAAGAGCATCTGAGGGAGAAAAGAGGGCATGAGGCCTAGAGGCCAGGCAGCAAGATGGGGGCGTCATGGGCTGCTTCTGTCGGCCTCTAGTCCTGCAGAAGTTTAGGGGCAGAAGCTGGGGGGCTGGGATGGAGCACCTCTCTCTGCTCCTGGGGCTGGGGGCTGGGAGAAGAGGGTGAGGGGCCGCCCGACAGAGGGCAGCCCCGTGAGGGAGACAGGTGAAGGGAAAGAGAGGAAAATGAGAGAAAGACCAAACACGGGGTCTGTGAGCCAGCGTGTACCCCAGCCTCGTGGACACCCTTCGGAACAAAAGCCCACCCCCCACCCCAAGGCCAGCACTCCCAACCTGCTCCCCTTCCCCATGGGTGTCCCAAAGGCTACAGCTTCATTTGTGGAGGTAGGCATCCAGCCACAGCTCCCCAGACTTCTTCAGGGACCTGGGAGGAGGAGGGGACAGTCAGGACCCAGGAAGGGCGGGGGACCCCCGGCCCCCTCCCAATGAAGGACAAAGGGAAGGTTGTCAGCCGACCCCACAGAGAAGCCAGGCAATTCCGAGTAAGGGAGGTGGCCTGGTGAGGACGCCTGCTCTGGCATGGTGCGCCCCCTTGCTGCGGTCAGTCTCGGCGCTGGGCACCAGCACCCATGCCCCCCACCCTTACCTGATGATGTCCTGCAGGGCCCTCAGCAGCGGCTTCTCTTGGTACTCAATGCCGTGCTTCTTGCACAGGGACTTCACCAGCGGGGCCACCTTGTGGAAGTTGTGCCGGGGCATGGTGGGAAAGAGGCTGCGGAGAGCGGGGCCAGGGTGAGGGCTCTCCCGGTGTGCCCCCTGAGGAACTGGCACATGAGTGGTGGGGGCGAGCTGGGCCTCAGCCCCCTGTCGGCAAAGGCATTGATCCCCCTGCCCTGTAGGCTTACGGGATCAAGGGAAGCCGCTGGTGCAAGTGCTCCGGAATTACAAAGCTTGGGTCACCCTTGAGGGGTGGCTGTTGCTGGAGCAGAGTGAGCCCCTCCCCTGACGTCAGTGCTAGGGAGGGAGCCTGGCCAGGGTGAGGAGAGGGGAGCCCCCATGTGCTGCCCAAGCCCAGATGGGGCTGGTGGCCTCCTCCCTCCCTTATGCCCCCCCAGCTACACCTCCCCCCCGCCCGCCTGCCTGTGCTCACTGGTGCTCGATCTGGAAGTTGAGGTGCCCGCTGAACCAGTCATTGAACAAGGATTGTTTCACGTTGCAGGTGGCAGCCAGCTGTCGGGGGCGGGGGGAGGGAGAGGCCAGGAGCAGAAGGGAAAATGAGGACTTGGCCTCCCTCCCACGAGGCCCGCCCCTCCCTCGCGTGGCCCTGCCTAGAGATGTCAGCCCTCCCGGGGGGAGGCCACAGGCAGCCCCAGGGACCCCTGGCATGGCTCTGGGCGCCAAGTTCTGGAGGCCGGGGAAATGGGCCAGCAGATCTCGTGGGGCCCCTCGGAGTGGCTCCCGCCGCCCTCACCTGGCTGCTGAACCAGTCACGGTAAGGCTCACACTCAATCTCCATGACGATGTGGTTCATCTGTGTGACCCACACAAACCAGTGGCTCTCCAGGAACCTGGAAGAGAGTCTGGCTCAGCTCAGGAGCTGCTGAGGCTTGCTGTCCGTGGGGCCTGGCCAGATCCTCTCCCCTAGCCCCAGACGGCCCTGGGGCAGGTGCCAGGGCAGGGTGGGTGAGGCCCCGCCCTTGCTGAGGCCTCAGGTCGCGGGGCCCAGGGCAGGAAATGGGGAGCTCTGAGCCCTTCCACACGGGGGGCCCCCCCATGTCAAGGCCAAGCTCAGGTACCTGATGAAGTTGAGGAAGAGGACGGCCCCCACGATGCCGTAGAAAGGGATGTAGGTGATGAAGAAGCGGGCATAGTAGCTGAAGGCCCAGGCCAAGTCCTGCACAGAGAACAAGATTAGACGGGGGACCGCTGCCCACGGGCACCACATCCTGACCACACGTGTATGCACCGCCCCTAATGTGCCGCACTAGGCAGAGGCGGCCTCGAGGGCGTGGGGCACCAGGCCCACGGAGGATGCGATGCTTGCTCGCTCGGGGCTGGAGGCCGTCTCTGTCCGGGGAAATGCTGAATGCCTGAGCAGCAGGAGGGGGCTGGGTGCTTTGGTTCGGGGAAAGAAACGGGGGGGTGGGGGGAGAACTAGGAGATGCCAGCAATGAGTAGCCCCTTCCCGGTCGCGGGGTTTCTGAAGGTGCATGAAACCGCCCCCACAACTGCCCTACAGCCACATCCTCCCCATTAGCACACGGGATCTCCTTCCTCGAAGGGCGGAGGCCAGCAACACTGTCCGCCCTCCATGTAGGGGCTCTCCCAGCAACCGCTGACACTGCTAGGCCTCCCCACACACCTGATTCTCCTCCTGTCCCCTCCCCCTGCCTGCCCCTCGCCGGGGTGACCACAGGATCCTAGGCTTGCAGGTCTTCTCTCACTGGTCAAGTGCCTCCCTCGGCTGCCTCGGCTGCCCCCGCCGCCCACCCTCCACAGGGGCAGGCGCTCTGTGGAACTGGTCCCTCTCTCTCCACCACCTTGCTGCGACCCGCCCTGAGTCCGCGTGCCTCCCATCGGTCTCCCGCTTTTCCTCGTGCACCATGGCAACCAGAGCCACCTCCTCAGCCCTGAGCAGAACCAGTCTCTCCTGAAGAGCTCGGTAGGATCAGGAACCCCTCTCTCTCCAGCCACCCTGACCCAGCTTATTCCCGCCCCAGGGCCTTTGCACTGTTTGCTCTCCCCCATCACTTTTCCTCTCCAGAGACTCAGCGTGGGCTCTAGGTGGGGCTGCCTGTGTTAGTCCCATCTCCATTATTGGCTCTGTGTAGCTGTGGGTGACTCACTCCACTGTGCCTCCATGTCCCCATCCTGTGGATGGGGAGAGAACCTCCCACTGAGGTGGTACACGGTTGACTGTGTAGGAAAACACTAAGCATCGCCTGCAAGTTTAAGCTCTGAACGACTCCAATCCAGTCCCTGCACACTTTGGCCCCACGGAGATCTTCCTAACATGCAACTTGGGTCATGACACTGCCATGCTCAAAGCCACCGCTGGCCTCCTGCCCCACTAGGTAAAGGATAAACCCAAGCCGCTGGGTAGGGCACATGCGCGCTTCACACCCCTGCCCACCGACCTGGTCAACTCATGCAGCCAGTCTCTCGAACTCCAGGCACCCGGCCCGGCCAGTGTCTGCGTCCAGGCTACACCCACCTGCATGCCCCTTCTCCCCCATCTGCTTGGCCAACTCATCCTAAGTCTGACTATTGTTGTTTTTAGTGTTTACTTATTTTTGAGAGAGACAGAGAGAGCACAGCAGGGGAGGCACAGAGAGAGGGGGAGGCACGGAATCTGAAGCAGGATCCAGGCTCTGAGCTGTCAGCACAGAGCCCGGGGTGGGGCTTGAACTCATAAACCGGGAGATGATGACCTGAGCCAAAGTCGGACGCTCAGCCGACTGAGCCCCCCAGTCCGGTTAAGCTCCCCTTGATGCCTCCTCGATATCAGAGGCTGAGCTGGGTGCCGGGAGCAAAAGGAGGTCCGTCACGAGCCCTGCGTCTGGATGGAAGGTGACAGAAGCAGGGGGACACAAGGTGGGGTCCTGACTCGATGCTTGGATTTAGGAAAGGCCTTCATTAGGGGGCGGGTGCCTGGGCTGGACTGGGATACGCCAGAGGTCAGTCAGCCAAGCAAAGAACCGTAGGAGACATTTGCAGAATGATGATGATATGGAAAAAAAAAAAAAAGCCCAGACAAGTAGATAGTGCAGTGTGCGGGGGGCGGGGGGGAGGTGGCGAGCAGGGGGCAGGGGCTGGGTTTACATGTTCCCCGTGGGGGTGGGAGACGCAGCCGGGTCCTGTCTGCCTTAGGACGCTGACTTCTACCTCTCGGGCAGCGGAAAACTCCCGCGAGGTTTAAACATCTGAAGAACACAGTCTCATTTGAATCTTAAAATAGATCCCTGCCAACTGGAGACGGAGGGATTAGGTTATTTCAGTAGCTGAGACAGGAAATGGTGGGGACTCAAAGCAGGGCCCCCAGCCCCAAGGAGGAGATACAGATTCCAGAATGGTTTAGGAGGTAGCAGGTGCATCTGAGGACTGGTTGGTTGTGAGGAATCCCAGCCGGTCTGTGCATTGATGCCATCAGCTGAGCAGGGAAGGCAGAGGGGAGCAGCTGGGAGGCCAGGAGGCCATGACCTTGGGATCCAGCGAAGGGTCTTGAAGGCCGTGGGAGAAGCGAGCATTACAAGTTCTGCTCTATCTTTTCCATTGTGTTCATTTCTAACTCTTTTGTGTGTGCGCACAGCACAGTAGAAAGCACATATATATCGGGGTGCCTGGGTGGCTCAGTCTGTTAAGTGTCCAACTTCAGCTCAGGTCATGATCTCACAGTTGGTGGGTTTGAGCCCCGTGTTGGGCTCTGTGCTGACAGCTCAGAACCTGGAGCCTGCTTTGGATTCTCCGTCTGCCTCTCTCTTTCTGCCCCTCCCCAACTTGCACTCTGTCACTGTCTCTCAGCAATGAATAAACATTAAAAAATTAAAAAAAAAAAAAGAAAGAGGGGCGCCTGGGTGGCTTAGTCGGTTAAGCGTCCGACTTTCGCTTAGGTCATGATCTCGCGGTTCGTGGGTTCGGGCCCCGCGTCGGGCTCTGTGCTGACTGCCAGCTCAGAGCCTGGAGCCTGTTTCAGTCTGTGACTCCCTCTCTCTCTGACCCTCCCCTGCTCACGCTGTCTCTCTCTCCTGGAAATAAATAAAACATTAAAAAAAAATAAAAAAAATAAATAAATAAAGTGAAGGATCTTAATTTCTAAAAAAAAAAAAGAAAGAAAGTACATGTATATGAATGGGGTGGACACTTCTTTCTTTTTGTGCAGAGGGACTCAGGAGTACTGGACCACTGGTGTCAGGGGCAGGGTGTGAAGCAGATGCAGGGAAACATGTGGCTGAGACCCAGCAGCAATAGAATGGGGGCGCCGACAGGGAGAATTTCAGGAGTGGCTTGTGGTGTCGGACACAGAGAAACTTCAGGAAGCGAGGTCTAAGAAGCCTCTCCAGCATATGGTCACCGGCAACACTGCCAGAGAGTAAACACCTCCCTTCCTGAAGCTCTAAGAGTGTCTCAACCCCTCCCCTCCAGGCCAGGGTTTCTCATCTGCCACACGACGCCATCTGGGACTGGCTAACCCTCCACTGCGGGGGGCTGTCCCCAGCGAGGCGCCCACCAGATGCCAACAGTACTGTCTCCCCTGAGCTGCGACCATCAATAATGTCTCCAGGAATTGCCAACTGGCCCAACAGAACCACTCCTGTCGCTGACCACGGCCCAAGCCGCTGCTGCTCTTATCTCCTAGGCTCGCTGATCTTGCAAATAGGAAAACTACAGCGCAGGACACACCTCTGCCCCGGGCAGTCATGGACCCCAGGCGGGACCTGGGATCTCATCCACCTTGCCTTGACCTGACCGCAGCAGCTGCACCACCGTTTCGTAGGAGGAGCCCAAGGCTGGAGAAAGGTCCCTCCCACCCAGCTTGAACCCTACTCCTGGGCAAGGGCAAGGGCAAGAGCAGGGCCCTGAAGGGCCTGAGGGGCCCTATCATATTCCCTAGGTTCTGCCACCTGATCCCATTCAGGGACATAGCCTCATTTCCCTTCCTGCTGTCCCTATCCAGTACTCTGTCCCTTGGGGAATTAGCACGGTAAAAATTAAAAAAAAATTTTTTTTTAAAAAAGTAAATATTCAGACAGCAGGCATCTGCCACGAAAGCAGATTAAAATACCCCCAGCAGCTGGGGCGCCTGGGTGGCTCAGCTGGTTAAGCGTCTGACTCTTGATTTCAGCTCAGGTCATGATCTCGTGGTTGGTGAGTTCAGGCCCCACGTTGGGCTGTGCACTGACAGCACGGAACCTGCTCGGGATTCTCTCTCTCTGCACCCCCCCCTCTGTCCCTCCCCTGCCCCTCTCTCAAAATAAATAAACTTTAAAAAATACCCCCGGCAGCACCATGAGCCCCACGTGGCAGGGCTCAAGTTCCTTTGCAGCTGTGTGACCCCTCCCAGGGCGCGGGGAGCCCAGTGGAAACAGCAGTTACCACAAGCAGGAGATGTGGGTTCAGATTCCCACGGTTTAACTGACCCAGAAACCCCCGTCCCGCCATAACCCAGGGTAAAATAATACAACGGAGGGGCCGTGCTGAACTGCTGCTGGAACACAGTAAGTACTGAGGAAACACCCACTTCCAGAAAAATATCATGTCCCAGAAATGGGTGGTACAAGTTCTACCAACACAAGACTGGCAGAGACCTCGGAATCTACTGCCTCCCTGACCACCCCAAAGGCTCCTGAGTCCCAGGTCTGGACATGGGCAAGATCAACAGGCATGGTCCCTGTCTCACAATTTCAACGAGAGAGTGTAAGACAAAGTATTTCAAAGCCCTTCAGATGCTATAGAAATAGGAGGTATCATCCGAGAGACTGGCGGCTGACGTAAGGCAGAGAGCACAAGACGCAGCATGGGCAGGCCTGGGGTCTGGTGCCAGCCCCTACCCCCTTGATGTCACCCTGAGGAAGTCCCAAACTCTCAGAGTCTCAATATTTTCATTTATGAAACTGTTCAAAAAAAAAAAAAAAAAAGGACCAGCAATACCTAAGTGACTCTCTACTTGGTCTCCAGGGCAAGGGGGCCCCATCTCGGTCCCAGGGAGCCATTCTCTGCCACAGGCAAGGCTCTGCCTGTGGTGATGCCTCCATCCGGGTCATTCTATCAACCTTTTGCTGAGAATCATGCCTGCACGTCTACATAAAGCCAAGGACCGGGGCGTGTGCCACACTGGACGGCCCCTCTCCGGGTCCCCTCCTGCCGGTCTCTGCTCTCTCTGGACATAGAATCTGAAGATAGCCCAAGCTTGATGTTACCGGACACAGATATGGATGCATACAGGGGGGATGACAAGGGGCACACGCAGAGGAGCCCACTGCCCACGAGTGAAGGAGACTGGCCGGGACCTGGTCCTCCTTAACAGCCCTCAGAGGACCTATGTCACCAACACCTCACCTCGGACTTCTAGCCCCCAGAACTGTGGGAGATTCGTCTCTGTTGTGGGACAGAACTGCCACTCGGTCTGTGCTCCTTTCTTGTGCAGCCGCAGCAAACGAATGCACCTGTCATCTGAGCCAGTGCCATCTGCTCTCCAGTCCCCACATAGAGCGCGGTGAGCCCTGGCTCAGGAGGTCTTGGGGCTGCATGGGGGCAATTGTCGGAGCAGCGGGCCAGGTTTGGCTCTCATCATGTCGCCTTCAGGAACTTTCTGAGGGAGCTCTGCAAAGGCAGTGGCCCCCGCTGCGCTCCCTCGGTGTGTGTGTGTGTGTGTGTGTGTGTGTGTGTGTGTGTGTGTGTGTGTACGTGCGGGGAATGTGTAGGGCTGGGGCGCTGGGGCCTCCCTGGATCCTGGTAGCTTTAAAGAGGGTCCTTTCCTGAGAGTGACAAGGCAGCCCCCCTCCCTGAGGGGGGCAGGGAAGGCCCCTGGGCCCACCTGCTCCCGACCCCCACACCCCTGGCCAGCTGTACCCCTTGACTCACCACCCAGTCTCTGCGTGAGATCATGGTCATGATGATCTGGTATTGGAAGTACACGGGGATGAGCAGAGGCGGCCCGACTGTGGGGAGAACAGAGGTGCTTAGAGGCTGGAAGGTCCGTGGGGAGCTGGGCCAAGCCCTGAAAGGGGGGGCCCAGCTCTGCAGCTCATAGGCAGAGGCAGCGACCTGTGCCCGAGGAGCAGATGCCCCCTCCCTCCAGCCCGCGTCCCCCCTCCCCGCCTGGGGACCCCCCCAGTGCAGGACCCTGGGTCTGTGCCCCATCTGTGTCATGGGCCAGGAGCCGTTTGCTGGGGACTTTGCTGCCGGCCCATCCTGCTCTAACAGGCTTAGGGGCGATTTCTGGGTCCTAAGGGGTATCAGGTGAGAGTGGACAGATGACCGTTCTGGGGTGTGGTTGTGGGGCCGCCCCGGCACTCACTCAGGAAGAAGTACTCGTGCTGGTGGTTGTAAGGTAGGTATTTCAGCTTCTTCTTGCCGTACTGAGGAGAGCGGAGAGAGAGTGAGCGCCCGTCACCCCTCAGGCTCCAGCCACCCAGGCCCCCCACCCGCTCAGCGGCCACCACCCCTCTCCTATCCGTCTGCAGCCTGGGACCCCCAAGGCTGAGCCCCTCTGGCCCTCTGGGCTCCTATTTCTCATGTGTCCTTGGACAATGATTTGACCCTGAGCCTCAGCCTCAGAAGCACCAGCCTCTGAAATGGGCCCAGCTGGGATCTGGCCCAAGAAAGCCACATGGCAGGCACTAAATGTTTATGGAGTGAGCACACAGCTAAACAACTCACATCGGGCCACAAAGGGAGCTCCTTGAACAGCCTCCACTCCTTTGATGGGGAGAAAAGCTCCCGGGGAACCCTGGGGAGCTCCCCCAGAGCCCACAGCAGCCCGGAGGACCCAGGTAAGGGCCAGGGAAATTGTTTACAGTCACCAGGGCGGGAGCAGATCCTCCCCAATCTCCCCCCTCCCCCTGAAGCCTCCTGCAAAGCTAATCACTTTCCCCAGGCAGATGCCTCTCTGTTGAGGATGCCTGAAGGCCAGAGAGGCCACACATAGTCACCTGGTCCCAGCCAGGGCACCCCGATGCCGGACACTCTGAGCAAGGAGTGCCATGCTGGGGCCTGGGCGCCCTCACTGTACAACGCTGCTTTGGCCATGCTGAGCACGAGCCCGTAGGGGAGCCCAGGAGCCCTTAATTCCAGGGTCCAGTCCTCTGGAGACCAACCCGCCTTACTCCTTGGGGACTGAGACCATAAGATGATGCTCTAAGCGTGGCTCCTGCTCTTAGTGCCGATGCTGAAAGGCCACATGGGGAGGCTGGGCTTGGACCTGCACAGGTCACTTAGTCTCTCCGAGCCCCGTTCGGCACCCAAATCACTGGTCGTGAAGAGGAGCCAATGAGAACATGGGCATAAATGCCAGGTGCTGGCCCTTGGACCCTGCCCCTCACCCACCGCTCCCTGGTTCCATCCCTCTGAAGGTGATCATTCCTATTTATCGCAGTCAGAAGAGGAGAGCACATAACAGATAGAGAGACCTTGGATATTGGCCATCCAATGCTCCCATCTCCAGGCGAGAGCAGAGACGGAAGTGACTGTCAATCACAGGCAGGGCCCATGACTCTTGAAAGGAGGAGCCCTGGTGGGAAGGAAGCCCAGGCTGTCCCCAGGACGGGCGTCTTGGCACCAGGGGTCATGGTCACGACACTTCTGGCCGAAGCACCACTAGAAGGGACCCCTTTGTTCCGTGGGGCCTCCTGTACCTTGGCAAGGGTCTCACTCATCCCCAGAAAGTGCGGCCATTTGCACGAAGATGGTCACTAAGGCCAGGGCCGTGGCTGGCCTTGGAGAGGTCCCAGCCAAGGAGGACAAGGAGGCGGCCTTGGAAGGTTTCTCAGTGGCCAGTCGACGGGTGGGGGTGGGGGGGATGCTATGGTCCAGGATTCCGGGGAGCATGTGGCCTGCGGAACGGGCCATTGGATCCTGCTCTAACCTCCCCCTAGAAGCCAGGAAACAGGCCCACAGGCCCAGCCCGAGTCTGCAGGCTTCTCGGCCCTGGACAGGGGCCCTCCCGGGCACATCTCTGCCCCACAGGTCATCCCAGGAGGTGGCCTCAGGCCCGGAGGACCCTTGCAGGCTAATTAGACTCCACTCGGGAAGTGAACCTCAAGGGTAGCCCAGACAGGTGGGTAGACCAGAGGGTCCCCATAGAAGGACATGGGGGTGACTAAGCTGCTGAGGGGGTGGGGGCACAGGGGAATTCATCTGACATTGCATTTCTGTAGTAAGTCGCTAGTTTCATTGCTTTCTGGTGACCTGTGGGGAGTGACAGAGATCAATGGGCTGCCACTCCCCCAGCCCCCACTGGCTCCCATAGGTGCCCCCCCCCCATGCTGCAGAGTGTCCCACAGGCGCTGCCGGGGCCCTGGCCCCCTGCCCCGCTGTCCCTTGGGCAGTAGTGGGCCTCCCTGTCAGATCCTGTGTCCCCAGGCTTAGGGAGGAAGGGCTTGGGATTCGGAAACAATGCAGTATTTGAGCAGATTGCTTCACACACACCCTCGCCTGCCCTGCCATGAGCTTGGAGTCCTTAGTCATCGAGGTGGGCGGGGGTCTGGAGACCAGACCAGCCCAGAGCTGTTGAGGGGCCGGCACATGAAGTGGATATAATGGGACTTTGGGACCATGAACCGAACCGCGAACTACTGTCACAGCCACATGTGCAGCGGTGTGCAGGGACACACCAAAACGTCGCTGCGCATCACCGCACGTTCCCATCTCGATGACCTCAGCCGGGGCAGGGGCAAGGCCATCTGTCAGGGCGAGGCTGGCCCTCTCACAACCAGCGAGTGCACACGCAGTCTGGCGACGTGTGGCTGACTTGCTGGCTCTTTGCCCTAGAAGTTGTGGGCGCAGGGGAGGCAGGCAGAGGGGCTTGAGAACATACAAGGCCGGGAGTAAGTGCCTTCTCCCTGCATCGCAACTCATCAGAAAGCTGGGGTGGCCCATTTTCCTGGGTGTCCAGCAGGTGGTGCCCTGGGCAGGTTCCGGCAGGACCCAGGAGCCCTGGCTCAGGGGCAAGACAGCCTGGGTTTGGATGCTGCTGCTGTCTTTTCTAGCTACAACCTCAAGTGACTCATTTCATGTCTCCTGGCCTTCGCTCTTGCATCTGTGAAATGGGCGTGATGATATCTCCCGCCTCGTGGTTAAGCAAAGATTAAGCCATATGCTGCCTACGGTGCTCGGCACGGTTGCTAGGCGCGTGGACTCAGTCAGAGTCGGCCCTCCTCCCCACCGGGGGCCGCAAAGCCTGGAGAACCCCCACACCTCCTCTCCAGGAGAGTCCTCAGCACACACAGGGGGAAAAGAAAGCTCAGGTGGCAGGGTTGTCATAAGTAAGCCGCAGGGAAGACAGAGGGTGCTCTCACTCAGGCCAGGTGGCTTGTCGTGGTCCAGAAGAGAAAATGGTGCCACACACGGGGCTCCCTTTGACGCAGTCCCAAGCTGAGGCTCCCAGGGGACGCAAGCAGGGGCAGGGGGCCAGGGCCAGCTCTGGTGGCCTGGCTTCCCCTCCACAGACCACAGGCCAGGCCTGGCTGACAGGCTGAGTGCGCGCCAGGGGCATGTGCGGGGGACTTTTCAGCTTTGGAACAACATGTTTGAGGAACGACAAGGGCCTTCCTTGTCTGTTCAGGGTTGGGGGAGGGGAGCTGTCGCTGAGCCCAGTCCCGGCCTCTGGGAACCTGCAGGCTCACAGAGAGAAATGGGCCACGCGGCCACCTCAGGCATGCGCAGAATGGCAAGACTCCAGTCCGTGGGCCCCAAGAGGAGGGCCGTGGTCGTTGTAAGGGAGGACTGTTTGCAAAGGTCTGCCTGGAGCAGGAAGACAGGCAGCGGGGCAGGGACAGCCTCCCCGTCCCAGATGGGCGGAAAAGCGGGATGTCAGGTGGCGGGGGATAGGGGGGTGGAGGGGAGCGCAAACACTGGTGGCTTCTGAAAACCCGCTTCCAGCGCCACTGGGATAATGGCCTCACCATTCCCCTCAGGATGCGACAGATAGATACACGGGCGAGCGGAGGCACCCCTGAGCTCACCGCCACGTGACTCTGTTCTGGAAGTTCTAGTAATGTCAGAACACCCAAACCAGAAACCAGAGTGTGGAGCTATTAGAAAGAGTACATCTTCATTATTTTCAAGGAGAGAATTGTCTACCCGGGAAACTCAGAGCCAACGGCTGAAAAAACTCAAATCACAAAGAGGCCTGAGTGGGGCGCCTGTGGGGGTTCAGTCTGTTAAGTGTCCAACTCTTGATTTCGGCTCAGGTCACGATGTCCTGGTTTGTGCGATCGAGACCCTCACCCCCACTCCACCCCGTGTAGGGGTCTGTGGCGACAGCGCAGAGCCTGCTTGCGATTCTCTCTCTCCCTCTCTCTCTCTGCCCTTCCCCTATTCTCTCTCTCAAACAAATAAACTTTTTTTTTAAAGTTCTTCCCCCCAAAAAAACAAAACCCAGAAGACTGAGTGGACACCAGCTGGACATGAAGATAACAATCAAATATCAACAACTTCCCTGAACATTGGAGAAGCCCCAATAACAAACAGAGAAAATGTCCAGGGTGAAATTGAACGAGAACCACCCATGAGGCATCTAAAGAAAAGCATAAAACTTTTCTATGAGAAACAAAAAGGGGCTTGAGCAATTGGAGAAAGACGCCTTATTGCTGGATGGGGGGACTGAGTATGGGGCGTCTGTTCTCTCCAAGAATGGAATGGCAGCCCGCTCACAAGCTTCCGGGAAGTTATTAGGGGCCACACGGGAGGGGCCTTGAATGCTGATGGGGGTGCTGGGAAAACTGGCTGACTCCAGACAAATGTGAAGGAAGGACACTAGCCTACCCACAGCCTGTTTGGCCAAAGTGAAATAAAAAAGTGAAGCCCCGTGGGGCGCTCAGTTGGTTGAGCGTCCGGCTTCGGCTCAGGTCATGATCTCACCATTCATGGGTTCAAGCCCTGTGTCCGGCTCTGTGCTGACAGCCAGCTCAGAGCCTGGAGCCTGCTTCCGATTCTGTGTCTCCCTCTCTCTCTGATCCTCCCCTGCTCACCCTGTCTCTCTCTCTCTCTCTCTCAAAAATAAATAAAGCATTAAAAAAAGTGAAACCACGAGACACTGAAAATAATATGTATGAAGAACTTTTCTCGGGGCGCCTGCCTGGCTCAGTTGGTAAAGTGGGTGACTCTTGACTTTGAGGTTGGGAGTTCGAACCCCACACTGGGTGTAGAGATTATTTAAAATCTTTTTTTTTTTTTTAAAGAACTTTCTGAGCATAAAAGAAATTAAAAGAATCTGCAGGAGGGGAAGAAATGAATACATCTTGCTACATCAAACAAACAAAAGCCTCCTGGAAGTCTTAAATAAGACCAGAAGGCAGATAACTAACTAGAAAAGGGGCCTCACTGCTGAGGCCCCTGCTGGTTACATTTCTCCATACGACGCAGCCCTTTGGAGTCAGTTTGTTTATCTGGGCCTGGAGATAAGGGCCCCATGTCCTTGCTCTGGAGGCCAGAGGTCAGCTCAAGGCCCGAAGGCCTGGGGGGCGTCTGGGGGGCTCAATTGGTTAAGCTTCTGACTCTCGATTTTGGCTCAGGTCATGATCTCACCGTTTGTGAGATGGTGAGTTCTTGGAGCCTGCTTGGGATTCTCTCTCTCTCTCTTCCTTTCTCTCTGTCCCTCCCCCACTTTTTCTGTCTCAAAATAAAGAAATAAACATTAAAAAAGAAAAGAAAAGATCCTGGGACCTGGGCGACTGGCCCAGGCTGTGGTCTTTCAAATGCTACTGTCGATCAGATAACCAGATCCCTGAAACCACCCTCTGCAGCACCTGCCCCAAAGCCGGCATTCCAGAAGTGTCTATAGGGAGAGGAGGTGTGGGAAGAGGTTTCACCGGCCACCACGCAGCAGAGAGGAAAGACGACTTCCTGCCAGCAGAGCTGGTGGGACTAGACTTCTGTTGTCAGGGACACAGAGAGCATCTGACGGGACACCCAACGACTCTAGGACATTAAGCCTCATGGAGAAAGGGGAGCCTCTGTCCTTGCTCACTGGGGCCCCAAGTTCGTCAGCTCCACGGTCTGGACACCTCTGATCCAAGCCCGAAAACCGTTTCCGAGAAGAAACAGGCAAGCGTGTGCTTCGGCAGAGTGTAATCCCTGCCTGGTCACAGAGGCTCCTCGCTTCCAAAGTACCAACTTTTGGCTAATTTCCTCGGCAGTGACCACGCCACGGGAAGCCCAGGTTTCCGCTCCAATGTCCTCTTGGGTGGAACTGAAATGGGAACTGTTACAAGAGCAACGAGAAACTTCTAAACTCATCCTATCACCATGTTTACAAATAGCAAAGCAGATGTAGATTTTTTCGGTAAATTAAACCCTAACATAGAGGCTGTTCCCTAGGAGGTCTACTTGCTAAAAAAAAAAATGTGTTAAATGAGGGCATTCTTTAAATGCACCGGAGGTGCTTTTAGTGAAAAGAGGACCTGGGCGAAGTCCGAGGTACTTGGGACTCCCAGAAAGAGGTCCGTGTAAGGTGGCAAGTTGCGGTACAGAATGTCTAAGTTTTTTTTATGTTGTTTTGTTTTTTAAGTTTATTTATTTATTTATTTATTATTTTTTAACGTTTATTTATTTTTGAGTGGGGGCTCTTGAGTGAGTGGGGGCAGGGGCAGACAGAGTGGGACACACAGAATCCAAAGCAGGCTTCAGGCTCTGAGCTGTCAGCACAGAGCCCGACGCGGGGCTCGGACCCTCAAATAAAAAGATCATGACCTGAGCCAAAGTCGGATGCTTAACTGACTGAGACACACAGGTACCCCTAAAGTTTATTTATTTTTGAGAGGGAGAGAGTGAAAAACAAGAGAGAGAGAGGGAATGCGCCCCAGTGAGTATGAGTGGGGAAGGAGCAGAGAGAAAGAGGGAGAGAGAGGATCCCAAACAGGCTCCACACTGTCATCATGGAGCCCAACTCGGGGCTCGATCCTATGACCATGAGATCACCATCTGAGACAATATCAAGAGTCAGACACTTAATCCACTGAGCCACCCAGGGGCTCCAAGAACATCTAAGTTTTAATTTTGGTTTTTAAGAAAGACATCTGGAAGAATTTATATGTTGTCATTAATGGTCATTAGTGGTCACCCTCAGGGGTATGAGATTTGGGATATGGAGATAATAGGTGATTCACTTTGTCATTTTGTGTATTTATGTGCTACTTAAATGCTTGTAATGGGTTTAAGTCTATATTTATAATAAAAGATGAACTAACATAAAAATAAGGCAGTGTGGTAGAGTGGAAGGGAAAGGACTTGGCTGTCAGATCTGGGGCCTCATCCCAGACCAACCACTAAACTATGTGATCCTGAACCCACCCCCTCCTTCCACTGAGCCTCACTCTGTCACCTATGGTGAAGGAGGTTGGCCCAGACCACGCCAGGGCCCCTCTCAGCATCGAGGACTGTGACTCTCCAAATAAGGCTTCCCTGAGCTGATCTTTGGGGGACTAGCTTGAGCTCTGGAACTTTGCCTCCCTGCTAAACTGCAACCAGGTTTCCTTTGCCCACAGGAAGAAACAAGCCAGAAAATAGTCTTTCCCAGCCCATGGGAGGCAGAGAGGCATCTAACACCGATAAGGAGTTGATCTGTTATTTACACATGAGGCCATTCCGCAGAAATTCCAGCTTGAATAATTCAGGAAAAGTTTCCATGCAAACGCATTTGGATGGCTATTCAACCCCCAGGATTCCTTCTCTGGTCTCACATCAGGCCAAACAGTTCCCACGTCCACATTGACCCTTCATCGTACCTCAATGGGCTGCCATTTGCCCAGGACAAATACATGCAGCATGTTGACATCCGGATCCTTGTGGAAGATGTTGGGCTTGGCATGGTGCTGGAAGTGACGATGATTCCACCAGTTGGCAGAGGCACCCTGCGGGGGGAAAACGGGGTGAGTGGCACAGTTATGGGGGGGTCCCGTTCCTAGGAGTGCCAATGGTCAGGGCTGGCTTCGCCATCATACGTGGGGCCTCGGGCCCCTTCGAACATCAGAATGCAGTCCTGTGGGTACTGAGCCTGGACTGAAACCAGGGCTTCTGAGTGAGGCCAAGCCATGCTGCCCTCCAGGCCCCATTTCCCCAACCCCCACAGCGATATGAGCAAGGATGGTGGGTGCTAGGCCGCATGGTGAGCGCCTTGGCCTCTGCTAGCACCAGGGGTGAGCCTCCACACCCCTCATCCTCTGCACGTCCCCCACATGCCATGTCCTACAAGGAGAGACACTTCCGTTTCGGACAACGGTAAGAAGTGGGCTCTATTCTTTGGCCCCTGATTCCACTCCCAGGCATGTACCCAAGAGAAACGAAAACACAGCCACACAACATTGGACACCAACGTTCCCATTATTCAAAAGAACCAAAAAGTGGAAACAGCCCCTCGACCATCATGCTGATGGCTGGATAACTAAAACGCTGTAGGTCCGCATGGCGGGATACCATTTAGCCAGGCCACAAAAAGGTGTGAGGCACTGATATCTGCTCCCACGTGGGGGAACCTTGAGAATGTCATGCTAAGTGGGTGATGGCAGACACAAAGGACCACGAACATGATTCCGTTTATACGTAACGTCCGGAATAGAGAATCTAGACATAGAAAGAGAAGTGGTTGCCTAGGGCTAGGGGTGGGCAATGGATGGGAGGGATGAGGGATGAGGGGGCAGCCATGAGGTTGGAGGTTTCTTTGGGGAGCGATGAGGACATTCTCAAATTGGCAGTGACAACAGTTGCATAAATCTGTGAACACATCAGCAGCAGCTGGCAAGAGGCGACCCCACAGCCAGACAGGCTGCCGTACTGAGGGGTGAGGACCAGCGAGGTCACACCCACAAGGCCAGATGGAGGGCTTAAGAAACAACCTCAAACACGAACAGGTTAAGAGCTTCCAGGCTCTAATATGTAAATATAAAGCCATGATCCTAGGAGACAAGAAGCCATTACGGAAGTGTGTACTTCAAGGTCACAAAGTTCGGGTTCACCAACTCGAGCTCTCACCACGCTCTGGAGGCATGCCCATCCCCCAAACTTGCCCTGTGGCCCGCAAAAGGAAATTAAGACCTTGTGACGCTTCTCTCTTTACTGGGGAACCACTGCTGGATCAATCAATGCTCTGGCCAACGGTCTGGCCATGTGCAAAAAGCCCTGGGTGCTAAAACATTTTACTTGGGAGATACTTTTGGCACAGATACATTCTCTGGACACTATCAGTCACAGGCTCACACGGCTATGAACAGCTGAGGCCTTTGCAGAGACCTGTGAGCAGGTGGGTCTCAAAATCCATCAGAGCCTCTCCCCACCCTCCAAAAAAATGTCAGTGTGTGCGAGTTCGGAGGACTGGGGCGCCAATTGAATCAGATGATGACACATTTGCCTTTCCAGCCAGAGGAACCCAACTTCTGGGAAGGGTCAACATGGAACAATCTCTGGCACAAAGAAATTGAGGAGCAAGGCATGTTATGAATAGACATGATGCTTAGAATACACCAACCCAGAGATGTTTGTTGAGTGAATAAATGAAGAAAAGAAGGCTGAGCGGTGAATACCCCCAGGGATGAGTCAGCGACAGGGAGGCTATCTCACTCTCCCTGGACAGATCAGCGACAAAATGTTCTTTGATCCTGCTGTTTTTCTGCTGTGATTCTCTTCTGTTCTTCACGAGTCAAAGCCCTACTTATTCTTCACACTGAGAAGCCTGTCCGCCTTGGGAATGAGGCAATGATCCAGAGGCAAGCCCTCGACTAGGGAAGGACAGGAGGGCACCCCAGCACACTGACACAGTCCCTGGGAAGAGAAGCAAACCTGTGGGGGTGGAGGGGGGAGGGAGTGGGCTAGCTCCCTCTATAGGCTGGGCAGGAGGGGGCCCTGGGCAGAGTGAGTGACAGGTGCTTTCCAGACAGAGGGAGGAGGCTAGGTGCGGGCCTTGGTAGTCAGGGAAAGGGTGGTGCGGACTCCTCTAGAAGCCAAAGGCCCTTGGGTTGAGTCAGAGACCCAGGACCGCGGCCAATAATCCTGGGCTGAGCCACGTCAGAGGCTGAGGGAAAAGGAAAACTGTGTACCCCTGGCTATAATGAATGCAACCACATCAATGAGGTTCCGAATCTGCTTTTTGGTTTGCCTCATTTTCTTCTTCTTTTTGTAAATGTTTATTTATCTTTGAGAGAGAGAGAAAGACAAAGCACAAGCAGGGGAGGGGCAGAGAGAGAGACACGGAACTTGAAGCAGGCTCCAGGCTCTGAGCCATCAGTACAGAGCCCGATGCAGGGCTCAGACTCACGGATCATGAGATCATGACCTGAGCCAAAGTCGGATGCCCAACCAACCTAGGTGCCCCGGTGTGCCTCATTTTCAATGGAGAGAATTGCCAGGTTGGACGATTTCTCTCAAACGTGTGACAAGCTTAAATAATCTTTAACTAACTTAAACCAAAGTAAAATAATAACAACTTCTGTTTTGGTACAATATACTTTAACTTAATGTTGGGACCTTTAATACACCCAACTTTCCAATTTTTGAATATTTCTCAACTGCTTTAATGTTCTGGGGGAAAAGATCCACCGTTATAAAAAGAATACATATGAACACGTATATGGGACACAGGATTTTCCTTTTTTTTCTTTTAAAGTTATTGAGCGAGTGAGGGAGGGGAGGGGCAGAGACAGAGGGAGAGAGAGAATCCCAAGCAGGCTCTTTGCTGTCAACGCAGAGCCTGATGCGGGGCTCAGTCCCACAAACTGTGAGATCATGACCCGAGCCGAAATCAGGAGTCAGATGCTTAACCGACTTGAGCCCCCAGGGTGCCGGCCCAGATTTTCCTTTGTATCTCGGGTTCCAATATGGCTCAGCACCGTCCTGATCTTCATTTAAAACGTTGCTGTTTTGTTCGCGGTCGATTATCTTTGCATTACTTTTGGTTTTTAAAAAATATATTCGAATGTTATTCATCTCGATTACTGAGTCTTTTGGTGTCCTCTTAAATTGTGTGCCCTGGGCGAGGGCCTCGCTCACGTTAACCCTAGTCCTGGTGGCCCGAGACGATATAGTGAAAAGGCTGGCAGTTTTCTGGTTTCCATCTCCAGATGTGGTGTCTAGATGGCACCAGCCTCAGGACAATGATGAACAACAAAAGGGTTTTAAACAGGGGCACCTGGATGGCTCAGTCGGTTAAGTGTCCGTCTTTGGCTCAGGTCATGATCTCCCGGTTTATGAGTTCAAGCCCCACGTCGGGCTCTGTGCTGACAGCTCAGAGCGGGGAGCCTGCTTCAGATCATCTCTCCCCCTCTCTCTCCACCCCTCCCCCACTCACGCTCTGTCTCTCCAAACTAAACAGTAAAAAAAAAATTTTTTTTTTTTTAAATAATAAAGGGTTTTAAACAAGGTGTGATGTCTCAGAACTCTTTGGAGTTCACCCTCTGGAAGAAACGTCCCCTGGAAGTGACAGGGCTGAGGGAGTCGGGAGGACTCCTTCAGGGGGAGTTGGGATGTGGGGAGCCCATGCTAGAATCCTGGAGCAGAGCCGGCTGCCAGTGAGAAGCAGGTCCCGGCTCCTCAGGGCTCCCGGCATGCTGTTCTCCGTCCTCACCAGCTTGTGCTAAAATATCCAAGTTGGCAGGGCACTGGGGGACCTCCCTGCAGCCAGTCCCCTTATTTCTCAGCAAAGGGACCAGAAGAACAGATGGAACAAGATCTGTCTGGAGCTGTGTGACGACAGTAGGCCCGCGCGATTTCAGACACGCCCCGGGGTGACCTGCTCAGTTGTGCCACTAGCCTAGACAGAGCTACGAGGACACAGTTAGCAGAGGGCTGGCAAGCCACGAGCGGAACCCATGTCCTTGACCTCCTCTAGGCTCTGAGCCCAAGTACCCCGCCTTCCCAGTGTCCCAGGGCTCTGATTTCATCAACCCAAGTTCTACATGGAGCCCAGTCCTCCGTCCTGGCCTCATCTTCCATCTGACTTAAGAGCTAGGCTCCAGGGCCCTTCAAAGACCACGGGACATCATGGCAGGACAGGCCCTCCCTCCCGGCTCCCGCCCGGAATCTGGAAACAGGACATAGCCCATCTTTGTTAAGTGCGCGGGGAGAACACGGGTTGGGAGTGAAATGTCACTTTCCAACATTGAGGAGGGCTTTCTCCGGCAGAAAAGAGTAGAGAAGGAAACAAAGCACTCTACTATGCGTACCCTCTCCCTTGACCCCTGAATTTTTGGAAGGAAACCAGGTTCTCAGGCCACTTCAGGCTCAGGGCCAGGCAAACCGCTTAGGAGCTCGTTACTAGTTCAGCCCCAGTTCACCCCCAACCAGATCTGCAGCCGGCGAGCCACGGGCTCCGTCACATATCGCTCTTCCCAAGCCAGGGTGAGGAGGGATGGAATTCTTTAGGACGCAGCCTTTCTTAGGAAGCAGCTGGGTGCTGCTGGGAAAAGGCTGAGTCGGGGAGGACTTATTTCAGAATGAGTCGGCAAGGACTTATTTCCAAAACCAAGGACATAGCCTATCAAATGAGCACAAGGTCACGGGCAAGCCCAGCCTGTCTTCTTCCGAACTCGCCTTGCTGTTCGAACACAGCTTGTGGGGCTACCGCCTTCATCTGCAAGTGGGTGAGAGAGGAGGCATGATTCACTTACGAGCTTTCAACAGCCCTGGCCCTTTGGCCCGGCTGATCATCATGCTATTTGATGTCCCTTACCTCAAGACTTCTATGACAATATCTCCCTTTCAGATTAAAAAGAATTTACTAGATAAGGCTTTAGATAAGGAGTAAACAATATAATCGACTGAGTCAATATACTAAAGCAGCCTATGCCTCTCCTCTGAGGGTTTTTTTTTTTTTTTTTTGCTGGTGTTCCGGGTCTAATTGAATATGGAGACAGGGCTCTCGGAAGGTCAGAGAAACGGAGAAGGTGCCAAATCTCAGAGCCCCAAGCAGCCCTGTGGGAAAAGATTGCTCACAGGTGGAACTGCCTCATCACCCCATGGCCACGGCCACCGACCCAAGGAGAGGTTTGGCTTCCACAGAGCGAGGCAGTGCGGCGCCAACCGCGACCTGATGGGTGGACGCCCAGGGCTGCTAGTATTTACCTTTAAGTGGCCAATGATGAACTTGTGGACAATGTGGTTCCATGTGGACTTCTTGTAGACCGACAGGTGGCCATAATCGTGTTGCAGCCATCCAGCTTGGGCCTGGGGAGAGAAATGCCTTCACAGCGCCAGCTCGCACCCGTGGCCGGCCTCTGTGAGCTGGGGCAGTTGGGGTGGGGGCTTCTGGTGACCGGTGAGGGGGTCACACTTCACCTGAGAGGTAGCAAGGACAAAGGCCGTGATGACGGTGGGGATCCAGCCATTGCCAAAGTAAAAGATGGTGAACCAGGCAATGCTCTCCATGGCGATGATGTGGGCCAGGAGGAGGAGGAAGAACAGGTGATTGCTCTTAAATAGGTTCATATCCTCGGCAGTTTTCCTCAGGGCCCGGAAGTCCTCGGTGATCTCGGACTGTGGAGCAAGAGCACAGGGAAGGTGTTGGCCACCTGGCCGCTCCAGAGGAAACTAACATCTTCTTGCCCAGAGAAGTGGGTGGCAAGAGGGGCTGATCCGCAAGCCTGTGACCTGAGGGAGCCCGGCCACCATGTACCACATCGGCGGGCAGCCTTCATGGCGCCCTCCTGGGCCTCCGTGGCCCTGGGGACGGCACCATAGGGCCACAGCCGGGTGAGTAACGGAGAAAGGATGTGACTCAAAAGCGTGCCTTTGGCACACTGCGTTCACAGTGGCATTATTCACACAGCAAAAGGCAGAAGCAACCCAGACCTGCGTCGATGGATGAATGGCTAAACAGAATGGGGTGTATCCATGCACCAGAATGTCATTCAGCCTTAAAGAGGAAGGAGATTCTCACACCTGCTACCACACGCATGAACCTTGAAGACATTGTGCTCTGTGATACTAAGCCAGACACAAAAGGACACATGCTGTATGATTCCACTCAATTGAGCTACCTGGAGTGGGCAAATCACAGACAGAAAGTAGAATAGTGTTGACCGCGGCTGGGGGGAAGGGGAACAGGGAGTTCATGTTTAACGGGGACGGTCACAATTTGAGGTGGGGAGAAAGTTCTGGATGTGAGTGGTGGTAAAGGTGGCATAGCAACGTGAATGTATTCAAAGCCACTGAACCGTACATCTAAAAACAGTTAATGGGACACCTGGGTGGCTCAGTCGGTTAAGCAAGTTAAGCATCTGACTTCAGCTCAGGTCGTGATTTCACAGTCCGTGGGTTGGAGCCCTGCATGGGGCTCTGTGCTGACAGCTCAGAGCCTGGAGCCCGCTTTGGATTCTGTGTCTCCTCTCTCTGCCCCTACCCCACTTCTGCACTGTCTCATTCTGTCTCTCAAAAATAAATAAATGTAAAAAAAATTTTTTTTGAACGGCTATAATGGTAAAGTTGATGCTACAGATACGTATATATTAACGCACGCGCACACACACATGCACTCAAGCTTGCATTTCCCACTCCCTGACCCTGCTCTGACTTGTTCTGGGCACTCTGTCGAGTCTCGCGGGGATTGCCATGGGGTGAGACAAAGCTGGGCAGCTATGGGCACTGGGGATGGGGGGCCATGGAGACCAAAGTGGAGTTGGGGGTGGCTCTAGGGAAACGAACGTGGCTGGGAGACAGAAGGGAGCTAGCTGGGAGGCAGGGGTCGGGCAGGCTGGGAGGGGGAGAGGGTGCTTTGAAAGAGTAGACGGAGTGGGGGAGGGGCGCGTGCATGGAGAAAGCCAGGTTTGGGAGCCTGGGTGAATCTGTCAACCATTTAAGCAGCAGGGAAAGCGGGGACACAAGGTGGGGACACAAGGTGGGGGCTCGAGAAGCAAAGCCAGGAAGGAGGGAGCCCTCGGGACACTGCGGAGGGGAGAGAAACTGCCTGCCTTGGGGGGTGGGGCATGCTGGGGAGGGGGCGGAGGATGGAGCCACAAGTGAAGGAAGCAGGATGGAGCCCCAGGTCCGCTCCAGGGAGGGGTGAAGACAATCTCCCTCTCAGCCCTGGAGGGAAAGGGGAGAGTGGGGGCAGAGAAGTGGAGCTCCAGCGGGGAGGGGAAGTTGACCTTGGAGGGCACACAGAATGGCCTGTATTTCCCAGAGAAGGAGAGAGAAAATGGTGTGGCCGGGGTGTGGGTGGGGGGGGTCAGGGGGCTGGACAAGAAGGAAGATCCTGTGTTCAGACTAGCTCACCGGAGACCCTGGAGGTGAAGAGGTGGGGACTGAATTACTCAAAGGTAGGGGCCCAGCCCCGGCTAGCAGCGAGAAGATAGGGCTCCCTGCAGAGCCTCTCGGTGCTCCTTAACCCCAGGTATTGGGCAGTGGCTCCTCTGGACTGGCAAAAAGCTCCCTTGACCCATGCCTGGCACTCTCTGTTTTGGCGTGCCCCCCCACCCCATCGCTCCCCGCAAACCCTCCCCTCCTTCCCTGGTCTGGATACACTCACGTTCTTGCCATGGTCCTGGCTGGGCTCCTCTGGGGCCAACTCTCCGATCAGCAGAGGCTTCAGGAACTTGCGCACAAAATCAAGGTCACGGTGGAAGGCGCGGAAGGCATCCTGGGGAGCAGGAAAGCAGGTGGTGAGAGGGGCCTCAACCCTGGGAGGGCAGGGCTCACCAGCACCGGCTCTCTGTGTCCCCACTTAGCCACTGATTGAGGCTTCCAGGGACCCGGCTCTAAATGTTCTCTCCAGCCTCAATGTTCTGTTCAGAAATGGTTTTTACCTAATTCCGTTAATGTTTCTGGTTTGACGTGACCTCCTAAGCACCTTTTCTGTGCCATAGCAGGCTCCAGCCCGAACCTGGGTGGTTCAGCTGAGTGTACGCGTTTGGTCATGATCTCATGGTTCATGAGTTCAAGCCCTGCATCGGGCTCTCTGCTGTTAGCACAGAGCCCTCTTCAGATCCTCTGTGCCCCCCTCTCTCTCTGCCCCCTCCCCTCCCAAAAATGAATAAACATTTATTTAAAAAAAATAAAAACATAAAAACGGCAATGCTTGATTTGAAAGGTTCGTATTTGGAGGGAGGAAAAAAGTAAACCTCAGCTATTATCCAAGCCTTTTTGGGAGTTGAATGAGAACATTTGAATATGGGCTGGATGTCTGATCATATTAAGGAATTACTATTAATTTCCTTAATTGCAGCAAAAGCATTGTGATCATGTCAGAGAATGTCCCTATTCTTGGGGGGGGGGGGTGAAAAATCTAGGGACGAAGTTGCAAAGAAAATCGCACGCACATAAAGTAAGAAAACGCAAATGTGGCAAAATGTATCGATTAGTGATTCCTGGTTGAGGAAATATAGGTGTTCACGACAGTAATCGCCAGGCCTCTCCTGCTCCCTTACTGCATCCCTGGTTTCAAGTCTTTTTGCCTGGTCTTTATTCTATTTGTGTCTAGAACAGACTTACAAAGCAACACATTGTACAGTTTGGGGGGAAAAATGTCCACGTCCCACTAGCTGAACAGAAAGGGATCAGATCGAATATATTTTCAGAGCAGAGATGTGACCCTGGTGTGGGCCCCGGGCAGGTGGGGAGGAGGCCTGGGGACCGGTGAAGACCAGTTCCCCCACTCTGGGCCAGCCGCCCCCACCCTAGCCTCAGCGCCTCTGAGAAGTGAGGACCCTCCCAGCGCCGAGTTCGAGGGCCCCGGGGAAAGCCTCGCCGGGGGCCTTCAAGGCAGGGCCCGGGCGTCAGCGGTGCCGCGGTGAGCAGCCCTGCCCTTGAGTGGGAGCCTACAGAAGTCTCTTCATTGGTCGTCCTCACATCAGACCATGGCTTTTGAGAAATGACAGGAAGTCCTTGGCAAGGCAGTTTCCTAAGGGCCAACTGCAGTGTCTGATAACTAAACCACCACTCTCTACTCTTGTCTGGGAGGTAAAATTCAAGTCTGGGAGTGACTCATTTCTCATCCAGCATCCACTACCCCCCCAGCCCCACCCATTGGGGTCCGGGTCATGCCCTTATCAAGCCCCTGCCTGGGCTGGTAAACTTGGAGCAGCCGGATAGGCAGACTCCTGTCTTGACCCAGGCCATTCCTTGGCCATTTCCGGAAGGCTCTGGCCATGGGGGGAGGAAGGGGCTCATTCCCTGAGTCCAGGGGAAGGAAAGGGCCATGTGACAGGTAGGGAGCCAGGACCGTTGTTATGTTACTTTTCAGAAGTCCATCACAGGAAGATGACATCCTGTGCTCCAGGCGGGAGAACCACGATCAAATCCACATTCACCCGACTCAGAGACTGCCTTGCCCCATGCCTCCTGCCAGTTTAGAAAGCCATGTGCTGTGAGATTGTCCCGTCGTCCCTGGTAGATCTGGCAGCTTTCTGAGCAGGCCTGTGGGGACCACCTATGAGTCCACCAAGTTCATGCCCACGCTGGGGTCTCTGCACCACTCTTCCTTCTGTCCAGATCCCTGCTCCCACAGTGTCCCGTGGCTGGCTTTTCCCAGCCACCCTCCAGCCCCATGTTTTCTCTGGCAATTGGCCTGTTTCACCTTCTTCCTGACCGTTGTCAAATTCACAACTGTATTATGTACTCACTTCCTTATTGTCTGTCTCTCCCACAAGGATACGAACTCCACTAGGGAAGGGCCCCAACCGTCCGGTTCACGGCCAGCAACTCCAGTGCCCACACGGCCTAGGAGGGGCTCGCAACTGAATGCAGGGCCCAGGACCCCTTCAGCCGCGCTCCCTCTAATCTGCGGAAACTTTTCCACTCTGCAGTCAAATTCAGACTCTGCAATCACATCATGTTCAGACTCTGCTTGACCTGTTTTGCACAACTTGCTTACGCTTTGAAGACTCCAGAATGCATCACCTTCTCCAGCATCCAAAACGGTGATTGTGGAACTGCCCCACACTGACCCACGTATGCTAGCCACTGAGTGTACATAAGCCACTAATCTTTACCAAACTCTAAGGCAGGTCTTATTTTATTTAGTTAGTTTAAAACAATCTTTTTAACATTTATTTTTGAGAGACAGAGAGCCTGCATGAGTGGGGGTGGGGGAGGGGCGTAGAGACAGAGGGAGACACAGAATCCGAAGCAGGCTCCAGGCTCTGAGCTGTCAGCACAGAGCCCGATGCGGGGCTCGAACTCACGAACCGCAAGATCATGACCTGAGTCGGTTAAGTCGGATGCTTATCCGACTGACCCACGCAGGCACCCCAGGCAGGTTCTATTTTGGAGACAGGAGGCTGAGGGAGGTGAAGCTGCTGGCCCACAGTCACATTCCAGGTGTGCCTACTTCTAGAGTTTTCCAATGCTAATACATGAGCTTTCTCCCCGCGGAGAGTTGAGCACTTTTTTGGGTCCCCCCAGCTTCGGAGAGTGGAGTGTCACCGACAGGTCTCCCACACTTACAGAAAGTTTCAGGAGCTGTTTGGTTGCAGAAGCATCTGGCTAGTGCAAGGTAGGTCCCCAAGCAAGGTGAGAGAGGGCCAATGCAAACACTGACTTGGAACCAGAATTTGAACCAGAATCTATCCTAGCCCAACAGAGAGGGAGGCCAAAGTCTTTCCAGGAAGGCCTTGGACGAGGGCGAAGAGAAGGGAGTGGTGGCAGGTTGAAAGCTGCCTGGAACTGTCCCCAGGTGGGCAGGTGTGCGTACTGGGGGGCGGGGGGGGGAGGGAGTGGGGAGGGCAGGCCGCAGGAAGAAGCATCAAAGATTCCCAAATGGCAGACACGCAGGCTGCACCTCCTACTGCCAACGCCAGCCAACTTCTGCATGAAGACACCTTCCCTGGTGCGGCCCCAGGGTAGAGCTGGCCGCTCTTCGAACCACACCGAAGGTTGGGTGCCACGGTCTGTTTCGGGCCGCGCCCCCCTCCTCTGCAGAGCAAAGCTAGTCTCTGGTCCGGCTTTGTACATCTGGGCCCTTAACCCGGGACCGGGGAAGTAGAGGAGCAAAATCAGGGCATTCCAGGCATTCTGTGGAACAAGAGCGGTTAGAGAGGGAGACGCAGAGAAGGGACCCTGAGTTCAAGGCTAGAGACAGGGTCACTGGCTTCCTTTCCATAGCAGAGCCCCCGGGCCAAGGGAAAGGGGCAGCAGTGGAGGCTGTAGGCAGCCAGCGGGCCGCGATGGGAGCACGCCAGCTGATGCCTGGCACACGCAATGCCCCGGGGGTGGGAAGGGTGTGGGTGCGCAGGAAGCCGGCACCTGCAAAAGGCAAGGGATTCTCACGGATGATAAGACGTGGGAGGAGGATGCTGGGGTGGGGACGGTATCCTCCCAGAGACCACAGTCGGCGGGCATGGGACTGCTCGGTCCCCATCCAGCCCTAGGAGCTCCAGCTGCCCTCCAGCGACAACCAGAAGACGGATTTCACGCGCAGTAAACGCCTTTGGCAAAAATGGGGCCGCTAAAGTTTCTCTTCTTCATGCTGTTTCCTATTCACTGAACTCCCTGCCAGGGGTGCTGGGGACAAGCACACACGTGTCCACCTGCGCACGGGAGGCGAAGGGGGACACAGCACCGGTCCCTCATGCTGGTAGCGCATCCTCAAGTTCAAAGGGTGAACAAATGCGCAGCCCATTGGAGCCTGGCAAAACCCTCCCGCTTCACAGACCTGGAAAGCAAGGTTCACAGCCATGGAACTTATAAAGCTAGGATGCCATTCGAGGTCCTCTGACTCTGAATACGGCGGCCCTCTTGCTCTATCTGCGGGAGGTGAGAGACTCGTTCCATTCTCAATCTGGTGCCTTTTCAGAACAGTGTGGGAGCAGGTTCATGCATGGACGGATTCCTGATCTCTTCTCACCTTCCCTCAGTTCCAGGAGCAGACCTGCGCAGGTGAGGCAGGACAAGTTGGAGACAAGGTGGGAACAGGGGCCTTGGTGCCTAGAAGGAGGGAGCTTGAGGAAGGAGGGAAGCAAACCCAATAGACGCAGTCACTGTCTGAATTATTCATCTTTTTTTTTTGAAGTTTATTATTTTGAGAAAGAGAAAAAGAGAGCGCACGTGTGAACAGGGGAGGGGCAGGGGCAGAGAGAGAAAGAGAATCCCAAGCAGGCTCCTTGCTATGGGCACAGAGCCCGACGCGGGGCTCAACCCCATGCACCACGAGATCATGACTTGAGCCAAAACCAAGGGCCGGATGCTTCACTGACTGAGCCACCCAGGCACCCCTGAATTATCCATCTTTATGCTCAGGGCCCAGCTCAGAGCCACGGAGACACATAAGCTGAAGATGAAAAGTCCCAAGTCGGGAAAGTTCTGCAGTGGCGGGACTGTGCCTTGAAGAGCAGACATCCTTGGGACGGTTCCTTTTGCCCCCAGCAAGGTGAAGGGCAGAGTAGTGCCAGAGGTGGGGAGAGTGCCTGGAGGAGGGGAGGTGGCAAGATTCAGAAATCCTCAGCTTAGGGCTGAGCGCTACCACTTGAGCAAAGCTTTTAAACTTGAGTGAGGTCTTTAAACCCAAGAGCGATGAGAGATACCTGCGAGGCTGAGCTAATGTGCAGGAATGTGCTCTGTGAGTTGCAAAAATTAAGTTCAAGCAAGATCAAGTTCTAACTTCTGCGGAAGTGCCAAAGAGCAACGGTCAGGCATTCCTGACATCTGAAGGCTTTCCTTCGGGAACAGGAAAATCCCTTCTTGGGGTCCCAAATTGTCTCAAGAATGGATTCCTTGACTTACAGACTCACAGGGGGATGTTCCTATACTGTGATGGGCTCGGGACAGTTGCACTGAAGTGCTCTGGGGGCTGCGGTCCCTACCTGCTGCTCAGTCCCTTGCATGGCCCACATACTCTGTCTCTCTCCAGACTCTAAGAAGTCCATGCTCTGAGGTGCAAAGCCACCTGTTCAACAGCTTAAAACCAAGGGTCTCTTGATTCCTAGCCTATTCCTGCCTCTCCAAGTCCTCTTACAGGCTAGGGAGGCTTCCCATGGCCTCGCTAGCCTGGTCCCAGATAACAGAGAGAAAGAGAGAGAGAGGGAGAGAGAGAGAAAGAGAGAGAGAGGGAGAGAGAGGGAGAATCCAATTCCTCACTCCACTGTTACTTAACTATAACCCCTTTAGCGTGTGCTGCTCCCTAAAAGCTTCATCTTAGAAAGTTGTAAGCTTTGGGGGAAAGGGTGGTGTTTACGCACTGCTACTCCAAATAAAACTGACATAGATTCAAAGTTCTCTCCTCCCAGTTCCTTATTGCTTACTTTTTTAAAATTTGATTTTAGAGAGAGAGGGAGAGAGAAAGAGCACAAGCAGGGGAGAGGCAGAGAGAGAGAGAATCTCAAGCAGGCTCCACACTCAGCGCAGAGCCCAACACGGGGCTCCATCCCATGACCCTGGGATTACGACCCGAGTCAAATTCAAGAGTCAGATGCTCAGCCCACTGAGCCACCCACCCAGGCGCCCCCACCCTCCCCACCTTGTTACTCACTTTACACAATCTTCATCTATTTCCAATTTGTCTGATAGCGCTCCATGGCATTTTCTTAGTGTTTACACCTTACGAAGTGCTTTGCCACCCAGTACGGATGTTTCCCACGTAAGAAAACATATTTAATAGTGGAAAAGACCCCAGCCCGCAGTCAGGTCTTTTACTTGAGAATCGCCCTTACCCAACTTCCCCAAACAGTTTGTGGGAAGGTCCACAAGGCACAACACAGACGATCTGAAAACCTCATGTCCACTAAGTTATGATTAGCATCACAGCCCCCAGGGCTGAAGCAGTGTTCTCCAGCAGGTAAAACCGGATGGGTCCCAAAGCTGTAGATGCCATCTATTGTCGACCCTCCTGGGAGGGGATCGGACCCTGCTCACCAAAGCAGCCATTAACAGCTGGAGATTATAGCTGCCTGGTCTGCCCCCACCCCCCACCTTGACTAGGCCTGCCCCAAGGAGCCTTGAAAGAGACAGAGAAATCAAAAGTTCCACCGACTACCAGGGGCCCCTGCAGCCAGGACAGCAAAAGCCTCCAACTGGTCAGTGAACGTCCAGGTGCAATGATCTAGGTATACCTCCCATGGTTTCTCCCCTATTCACCCTTCCCAAGTGGCTTCCAGCTCACTATCACCAAGAAAAGCTTTCTTCCCTCCTTGGCTCTCTTCGTTTCCCTCTCTCCTATTGGAGTCCACTGGGCTCTTAAAGAAATGCAAGCATTTCAGACTTGGGGGGGGCATGGGAGGTGCCCAAGGGGCAGAGCCTCACCTTTGGTGTGGGTAAGATGGGCAGCCCATGGCTCCTGCTGAGGCCCCACCGCCCCAATACCTTTAGGCGTGCAGATGAGGGAAGGGCATTCCTGGCAGGATTTAGACACAGAGGACCATTGAGTAGTAACCTTGGTGCAGTTGGGACCTGTTGCCAAGCCAGCCTAGTGCTGCTGAATGTCGGCAGTTCAAGTCCCCTCTCGACCTGGGCTTTGCAAACTCTCCTTCCAGTTCCCCACCCCGGTGCCCAAGAACGGACCCCCGGGGGGTCCTCGAGGGCTTGGGAAACAGGAGGTCCCCCGGCGGTCTCTTGGTGGCGGCCATGACGGGCCTTCGGAGTCAAGGCTTCGAGCAGGAGCTATCCCCGGCCCGGGACGAGCTTTTTCCTAACCCGCCCCCTTGTCTGGCTGGAGAGTGAGGGACGCGCGCCGAGTCCCACACCTGGCCCCTCGCCCGCTCCGTTCAGCGGCGCCCATGAGCGGCCATCTTCCGCGCGGGGGGGTGCCAACCCCCTAAGGCCCGACTGGCCCCTTTGGGGAGTCCCTAGCTCCGTGTGAACCCGGGAGCAGCGGACGCGTGGGTCCTAGCGCGCGCGGTGGACCCCGTACGGTTCTCACCGCCTGGATCTCCACGGCCCAGGCGGCGCCTCCTCCAGGGCTGCAAAAGCCGATCCCCCCAACAGCCAGGTGGCCGGGCCGTCCTAAAGGATGAGGACTTGGGGCGGAGGGCGAGCGGAGGGCGAGCGCGGGAGGCACCCTTTTCCTTTCCTCCCAGACGCCCCATGCTCCATTCAGCGCGGGAGATCTTGTTTGCAGCCCCGGGTCCCATGGCTCCTGACTCCCGCCTGCAGCCGTGAAAGGTGGCGGGAGAGCCCCCCTGCCCCCGCCAGACCCCTTACCGTAGCATCTTCCCCCGCGTAGTGTCCGATGACCCGGTGGCCCCCTGGGTGCCGGCTGGACCACTTGGTGATGTTGTAGACCTTGCGGTCGATGACGAGCCACTTGTCCGTGAGCCCGTTGTGCTTCTGAATCTCCTCCCAGCTGAAGGTGGGCATCGGCGCCTCGCGCTCGGTGGCCCCCTCGCCCTGGTTGCCCCCCTTCCCCATGCTCCCTGCCGCCCGGGACGCCCCGTGCACTGCAGCCTCCCACGCCGGCAGCCGGGAGTGTGCGGCCCGGGCCCGGCTCGCTTTCGGCTTTTGTCTTCTCCTACTCCTCCTCCCGCCGCGCCCCCTCCCCCCAGCCTCCACGCCCGCGCCCCGGAGTATCCCGGCCTTCCCTCCCGAGCCTCCCCGGCTTCCCAGTGCCCCCCGCTCCGTCCCTTTCCTCCGCCCCTCCCTCCGCCCTCCAGCCCGCCGTGGACTTTCGCCTCCAGTAAAAAACTCCAGGGGAGCTCAGGACCCGGACGCCTCCTCCATCCGCCCCTCCGGCTCCCCCCGCCCGCGGCTCCGCATCCTCCCGCGTTCTCCGCCGCCCGGGTTTCCACAGTGATCAGCAGAGCGCCTGCACCAATCCGGGCGCGTCGCCCCGCCTGCCATTGGCCCAGGAGGATCTTTCGAAGGCCAGCGGGCTGGAGCGGCGGTCCCCGGCTCCCCCGCCCGACTGCCCGCCTGCAGCTAGGCCGCTACGTGTCCGACCTCCTCCCTCCCCCCCCGCCCCCCGCCCGGCTCCAGCCCGGGGGCGTCGGAGGAGGTCCCAGGGGAGCCGCGCGGCGCAGCGGGGGCGGGGGCGGGGCCCCGCGCACCCCCCACCCCGGGTTTGCACCTGATGCCGGCACCCTCCCGGAGCTGCCCGGCTAGGGGACGCCCTTCCCCCGCCCGCCGGAATCGGGACCCCGCGGGGGGGGGGGGAGTGGGGGGGAGGTCCGGCTCTCCGCATTGGCGCCGTCCTACAGCTTCCGCAGAGAAACCGGCGGGCCTCGGCCGCGTCCGAGGCTCGGAACCCCGGTAAGGCGAAGATCTCCGAAAAGGATTGCGGAACCTCGGCTCTGCTCTGCCTCTTTGTGCGAGGCGCCATAGGTGTGTGTGTGTGTGTGTGTGTGTGTGTGTGTGTGTGTGTGTGTGACGACGACGACGAACCGACGGCCCTGGCCCTGTACTCTGGAAGCGCACCGTCGTTGGGAGTCGGAGCAGGGAAGCAATGCTGGATCACTCACGAGTCACCGGACAGTAGTGTTGTTTGTATACAGACTTTGGGGAATAAAGATGGAGGCATCCCAAGGATGGGTGGAGAGGCAGGCCCCCAGACGCCAGCTGGATGCGCTTTGCTTAGGATCCGTGTCCAGGGCGACAGGTCCCCCCTGGAGCCCTGGATCCTAATGGTGGGCTGAGGATAAGTGAAATGTAAGGAAGAATGTGGAGGGGGGGCGAGATAGGGGTCGAGGACAGCTTTGGGAATCAGGAGTAAATAAGGGGTAGTCGTATTTCAACAGGCTGATTTCTAGGGCCCTGAGTGCTGGCACATTCTACTCATTAGCTTCTCATCCCAGCCCTGTGAGGTGAACATGTAGCAAAACTCTGTCTGGAATTCATTTTTGCCTTGGACACTACTCCCTGGCTTGTTGTTAATCCACGCTAGACATGTCTGGCACTGTAAGCCCTTGGGAAACTCGTTGACCTTAGGATTTTAATAGGAGTACTGAATTAAGACAGAACACATTGCACAAAATAAAGAACATTCTTGCCTGTCACTGCATAAGCACGCGATAAGCTTACAGTAATCGATTGTTTAAAGTCTCTTGGGTAGGGGCACCTGGGTGGTTCAGTTGGTTAAGCAAGTTAAGCATCGGACTTCAGCTCAGGTCATGATCTCACAGTTCATGGCTTCCAGCCCTGCTTGGGGCTCTGAGCTGACAACCCAGAGCCTGGAGTATGCTGCAGATTCTGTGTCTCCCTCTCCCTCTGCCCCTCCCCTGCTCTTGCTCTGTCTTTCAAAAATAAATAAAACATTTTTAAAAATGAAGTTTCTAAGGAACATTGAACGTAGCCTATGTTTTTTTAATGTCTATTTTGAGAGAGGGAGAAAGAGAATGAGTGGGGGAGGGGCAGAGAGAGAGGGAGACACAGAATCTGAAGCAGGCTCCAGGCTCTGAGCTATCAACAGAACCTGACGCAGGCATCGAACCCACGAACCGGGAGATCATGACCTGAACCAAAGTTGGGCGCTGAACCAACTGAGCCACCCAGGTGCCCCAAACCTGGCCTATGTTAATTAAAGACTTCTGATTGATTGATTGCTTAAGCCTGGTGGCAACTGTAGCTGGTTTCTTTTTTTTCTGCTTCCCTCCCCATTTAAAAGCCCCTGGCTGCACTGAGGTAGGAAGATGGCTTTTCAGGACATTAGTCCATCATTTTCTTGGTTAGCTGGCATTCGCAAATAAAGTTGCTTTTCTTGGGGCACCTGGGTGGCTCAGTTTGGCTAAGCATCTGACTTTGGCTCAAGTCATGATCTCACAGTTCGTGGGTTCGAGCCCCACATCGGGCTCTGTGCTGACAGCTCAGAGTCTGGAGCCTGTTTCGGATTCTGTGTCTCCCTCTCTCTCTCTCTCTGCCCCTTCCCCGCTCAAACTATGCCTCTCTCTCCTTCAAAAATAAACATTAAAAAATTTTTAGACAGATGCTTGCAGCTATCAAGTAACATAGATGGGCACCTTCCAGGCATCACCCTGCCTCTCTCTAATGAGGTCAGTGGAAAGGAGCCATTGTAGAAACTTTGCTGAAGAACAATCTGATGCAGGGTGGGGGTGGGGGGTAGGAAGCTCACTCTAGCCAGCAGGTGGGGTAGTGGAGGCCACACCGGGTCCCCTTCATGCCATTCATGCCATTGCCACAGTGACCAGCCTCCTCTGTGTCCGTCTGGTGTCAGTCCTGAGCGTCCTTCATTCAAGTCACAAACTCCCGACAGGCAGAGAATAAGGTCTCTCTGGCTTTCAAGGGCGGCAATAGACACCCAACCCCAAACGCCTGGCTCACAGGATAAGAGAGGATGAGGCAGGCACTGAGGTCGAGTACACGGCCGTTTTTGTCTGTTAAAGGTGCACTGAAACAGCAATCAAGACTGAGTTTTTTCAAAAAGGAGATTAACGCAATACAGAGATAACTTTCATGAAAAATGCTTAAAAGGTCACGGAGCTCAGAGGAAGGAGTGATCCTCTGAAAGGGAGAGCTGGGATTATCTCCTGGAGGAGGCTTGAAGGCTGAGAACAGGACACCAGAGAAGGCACCAAGGTCTAAAAAAGGCGGTGAGCGCAGCGGGGGATGGACCCGAAGCAGGGACCAGCTTAGGTGCGGGATGCCCAGCAGGTCCCCGCATGGAGCCACCCCAGGAGCCCCTGAAAGACATTTGCGGAAGAGATGAATGAATGCACACGTGCGCGAAGGAAAGAACAGGGAGGAGGGGCGCCTGGGTGGCTCACGGGGTTAAGCGTCCTTGGTACGGGCTCAGGCCACATCTCACCGTTTGTGAGATGGAGCCCCGCGTTGGGCTCTGCACTGACAGCGCGGAGCCTGCTTGGGATTCTCTCTCCTTCACTCTCTGCCCCTCCTCCGCTCCTGCTCACTTGCTCTCTAAGTAAATAAATAAATACAAACTTACAAGAAAGAAAGAACAGAGAGGAATGGCTCTGGTGACAATTCTACCATGGGCAGGGTTCAAACTGGGAAAAGCCTCGCAGGCTTTGCCAAGGATGGAGGGGGAGGTGGGGAAATTCATAAAGCAGGGGTGTGCTGTCCCCAGATCCATGGTGCAGAGAGAGACCTCGGGTGCCGAGTTAGGGTTGAGGGCACTTGGCCAGGCAGGGGGGCTGGGAGTGGGGGCAGGGCGGAGGGGAGCACTCCAGGACACAGTGGAGGAGGGGCTGAAGTGAGCTGGAACCTTAGAAGGCTGGAGCCCACGGCAAATGCTGCCTTGCCCCCAACTGCCCTTCTGCTGCTCTATTATTTATTGCTGTCACTACTCGAAGGAGCTGGTGAGTCTGTTCCTTTAGAGAAAACCCCATAGTACCCAGCTGACCCCAGAGTCACTGAGGAAAAGGGGTGATCTCAGAGCCGGTCTCCCGGTTCCCATGGTTTCTCCCTGCCCTGCAGAATCCCTCCTCCCGAGCACGGCAGCTTCCCCGGGAACCTTGCCAGGACCTCAGCCTGGTCGTTGCACTTTATCAGGAACAAAAGAGAAGAGCTTGGGTGGCTTGGAGCCCAGGTCCTCCCTGCCAGCCAACTGGGTGAAAGGCTGGGCAGAGTATGGGGGGGGGGGTGGGTTAGGAGACACGGCCCTGGGTGCTGCAGCCCGTGCGGCCATCTGGGCTCACAGGGGTTCTCTGAGGTCTGCTGGTGGATGGACGGGGTCACCCAGCACCCTCCAGGGAAGAGCCCTAGGGGTGAGGAGAGGGAACAGGGTTCTGACACAGAGTCCCCCTCCCCC